ATATATATTTTTTTTTTAATTGCTTATTCGCTTTATTTTCTAGACAAAATTCTAAGATGTTATTGAAGAAATGTAAGAAAAGTTTAGAAAAATTCAATTTTTAATTTAATTTTTAAGCGATTTAATAAAAAAATACATGATGCTTTCAATACAAGATAACTCTAAAGATGATGAAGCAAAGTCATTTGCTTTCGTATACATCCAATCATCGCATGTTACATTTTTATGATATTGATTGACATATCGATTGTCCATAAATAAAAAAGGACAATAATCTTTGACAATCGAACAAGTCTACGCACAGTAGGAGGCGGCAAAACATTTCCATTTTACTTTTGGAAGGCGATAAGTCCGTCTCTTCGGAGACTACTAATTCATTGGCGTAGCGATCACGAGAAATGGTCTCGAGGAAGTCGAACCGTTTTTCAGGCTCGCTTAGAGCTGGAAGACGTTCACGAAATCACACCAATGGTGTTTTTAAGGGCCAGGTGTGCGACTATCGATTTCCTCGGGTGCGACCAAATGGGGGGGGGGTCTACCCCCCGAAAACAACACTACGGTGCCATTCACCGAGACGAAGCATACAGCACGAAGGCACGCGCCAGATCGGCACATCTGCGTGTAAAATGCCTATGGTAACGCGTCATGCGTATGCGTGAGAGTAAATGAGTCACTCACATGTTTCTCGTGCGTTGCGTGGCCGAATTTAAAGGACGTGGAAATTTAATGGATTCACGGATGTTTAAGCGCGGTCATGGAGAATGATAGCTGAGTAACGCGAGCGATCCGGCAAATCGAAAGGGAATATATTTACTATTTAATATTATATTATTTAAAATAAAGTTTTATAATTTAAAAGAAAAACCTTCAATTTAATCCGTCGTTACACGGTATGAGAAAGAAAATCTATTTCTATGTCAGCATGCGTTTTTGTTCTTTTTTTTTTTATGCAAATCTCGTGAATTGTTGTACGCGCAACATATGTTGTACTTGCAACGGTGAACGATCTTGCCGAAGGAAACGCCAAGGGAAAACGCCTCATTCGCAAGCTTTCGCGTTCCCGCTGTTAATTGACGGAGATCGGGGCTATCGATAACTGAAGTGAACATCAAAGTTGTTAAACGGAGATAGTAATAGCACGGTAGTAATGACACGTCTTCTTACGTTATGGTAATAACAATCTTATTGTTTTATCAGAAAAATGTGGTTTTCAGTGAAATCGTTTGATCATGACCGATGTGCCTTCTTATTGTCGATGCATATACGTGCGTACAACGATGAGCCCCTACTGTGCGTCTCCTAGCAAAAGGGTCCTTACGACCCCCATTATACATACCGGCCACGAATAAGGGACAGATGTGTACAAACCGTTATTTAGGCGCGTGCGTTTAAGCGCGTCTGTATAAACCTGTACATCTGTACCGCTCGAAACTCAATGACATTTCAAATTTAGGATATATCAATGAATTACCGATGATTAATCTCTGATAAAGAGGAACGGTTGTTTTCATTGTATATAGCAAAAATTTTTCTATGCCAAGATTATTTTCTTATAAGCAAGAATTGCCTTTACACACGAAGATTGCTTCGGCGAAGTGATTTACGAAATTCAACTCGACTTTATTGAAAATGAATAATCAAATTAATTATTAATTATAAATGCGATTTGTTGAAAGAAATCTGTGTCTGTCAAATAAGACTTTACAATATTGTAACTAATTTTCTCGTACAAATCATCCAGGTAGAAGAATTGTAAAAAAAACACAGCAATATTGAATAAATATTTCTTCTGAACCTGAAGTTTAGGAAAAATGTTTGCAGATTAGGAGAAATATGAATTGTGCATTTTAAGGAAAATATACATATATTTATTTAAAAATAACAAAGTATGTCGATATAAATTTTTATTTGCAGAAAGTTGTGTGTTAAAATATATTTTTACTTTTCTTGAAATTTTGATACTTATACTTAATTTATGAATAAATATATATGTAGGTATATTTTTACGAAGCCTATAAGCATGCAATCCGTTCTACATGCAGTCATTTTGTAGCGCAACATACGGTGTGATATGCGAGGTTCATAGATTTATTTAATTAATTAAATCAATAATATATATGAAAGATATTTTGATTTAGTTTACAACATTTAACAATTATTTAATTTTGAATATTAGCACAAAAGGTACGAGTAATCGAATATGTTTTAACTGAAAAATGAGCGTAGCTATTGTTTTTGAAACATGTAACCCAATTTGAAAAAAATTAGGGTACGTTCCGTTTCACGCATAATGCGCATAAATCGCATAGACAACCGTTCCGTTTCATCTAATGCACGCATTGATAATGCATAGTATTCCCTAGATTCCCGCCACCACTAGCGTATGAGGAATGCAGTTAAGTACTATAAGTAAAACTTGTGGCAAGCTATGCGCGCCTGCGCATATAAGTTTTTTTTAAATCACGCGTAGCCATAAACCAATTAACGATAACTAGCTGCTTCTTAAAAACGTTCAACGTAAAATTACATGTTTTAATTATTTACAATTATTTGATATTTTTCTAGATTATGATTATATTATTTAATGAAAAATTTCGTCCTATTTTTTCATTTTAATTCAATAATTATTACTCACCGAAAATGTTCTTTGAATACTGTTCTCGGATAGCTGAGAATAACTCTTTCAACATAATCGGATAATTTTTCTGATCTACGATTATTTCTCCCCGCGTAATATTAACCATTAAAATGAGATATAATATCTCCAATTCTTTATTTAAAGTAAATTTTTCATTTCACCATCACTATTATTAATAAATTTTATTCCCGTCAAATTGTATCAAATGCACATAAACCGTTCCGTTTCTAAGCGCGCATACCGCGCATTAGCGAAACGAAACGCTATCCATGCCGCAGCGCAGTGTCTGCTATCTATGCGCTCAATGTATGAAACGGAACGGACCTTTAATCAGAAGACTGATTAATTACTGGATAAACTTAATAAAATATTTTTTTCATGAAATATTTTTTTTTACGAATATTAAATATTATTTACAGAGGACAATGCACGAACGTATTTTGCAAAACTTATTAAACAAATTCAATTGGTTGAATAGAGAATGTCTAGGAACAAAAAAAATTTTGTTGTTAGTTATTAGTTTATATGTTTGTAAGTAGAGCTTCTTATAATTTATATTACTTTATTTAGATTTTTTTATAAATTATAACATAAATTTATCTTTAATATCTAATAATTTCGAAAGATTATGTTTTAAAAGAAATGGTAAAAAATATTTTTTTGTGTAATTTTTTTATAATACAAGATAGTAAATTAAAAAAATTTCTTTTTAATTATTTATAATTTACAGATTTCTCTAATTGTTGAAGACTAGAATGATTTGATATTAGTCAACGAATCAACATCTTGGACAACCATGTGTAATGAGCTTTAGGTTTTGAAGATGAGACTATTTTCATGTAAATACCACCTATTTCTTGCTTTCTTTGAAAACTAACTCTACTGTTCTCTCTAATCATCATTTAAAAACGGGACTCTGGGGAAATCCTTTTCTTTTATTGATTAGAGTTTGCTTTTATGGACTTCCCTGTACGTTCCTGAGATGATATAAATGCCGCGCTCAAATTCTGCATTGAACATATCACAATCGTACTGCTCTTAGTAAGTGCTCTTGAGTTGAACTTGATCTTCATATAGATAAAAAGTATAATCCTCATACTTTTATAAAAGTAAGTTATGTATTATTAATTTCAATACATTTTGTTTCTAATATCTATAAAAGATATTTTTAAAAGATTAGTAAATTTGTAATTAAAATCAGTTTAAATAAAAGAATAACAGCCACAGTATGTAAAATTGTGACGCTACATAAAATAATAATTTATCGAAAGTTTAATAAAAATTAAATTATTTATATTATTTATTAAAAATCATTAAAAATTTCTTTCTTCTTTCGTATTTAAAAAAGAGTGGCTGCTATTGTATTTTTCGTATATTAATATTTAAAATATTATGACGCGATATGTATTTAACGATTTAAAAATTAATAAAACGATTTAAAAATTAATTTATTAAAAAAAATAATATTTTTATTGTTTTTATATTAGATATATTTAATTTGCATACTTTGGCATATTGCTTGGTCACCTATTGTAACGCAAATTTTAGTGATTGTAATGCAGATATATTGACATATTGTCTAATTCTCAATTGCAAAATTAATTAATTAATTTTATCTTTATGTGTTATCTTCTTGTTTTTTTTCCTAATATTCTTTAATTAAATTGTGAATTCGAGACGTACACATCTAATTTATATATTAATATTGTATTATATACGTGATTATAAAATTGAGTTGATGTTCTAGATGGATAAAAAAAGTGCAGGTAATCGCACTAATCAATGCAATCCGAATCATACTCCTACTGGACCTGGTCATACAGCCGGTTATAAAGGGACAGGAACTAAGGCTGATCGGGACAATCATGCTAATCAATTGAATCCGAATAATCCAAACTATAAAAAGTAATATGTATTCTATAAAATTGGTATTGTAAATGGCAAATAATGTATAATGCCCGAACAATAATATAAATGATATAATATAACTTAACATCATGTGTTATATATTTTTTACTATTTCTTGCTATGCGTACTTATATATTTCCCCTAATATTTCCATCCAATTTGACAAGAAAATACAAGATCATGTAATTTGACAATTTTTATTAATTATTTTATTACGCTGCAATACATATAATTAATAAACGGAGATTTCTGTTTCCTTAATGCATGTAATGAAAATAATTACACGTTTTGCAATTTTAATTTTTTTCTATATATTATTTATAACATATTGAAAAAAAATTATTTTGCTATTACATATAAATGTTGCATGATAGAGAACAAGCGATAACAAAAAAAATGGACATTATCTGCTAGGCTGTTGAATCCAATATCCCCAAGTAGCGAAATATTCGCCGTTTCCTTGTTGCGTGGGACCACGAAACACTTTTATTTTGACTCGTGGAATATCATCTGCAAACAAGTAACAACTACATACTTTTCAATCGAATTTACATATATCCGGATGTCTTGCGTTTTTTTTTAGAATTTCTAATTATTTTGTCCGCATGTAGCAGAGCATGAATATAAGTGAGTATCCTTATTAACCTCTTCTATTTATTTATTTGAATATCAGTATTATTGAAAATTATTAATAACTATTAGGAATGACAACTATTGGTGCATTGTCTGCCTTACCTTTTTTTAAAATCGAATGACGCATTATGCTGCTTGACTCATCGCAGTTAATCATCGTAACATCGCTATTTCGAGACAAACAGAATACAAGAAAGATGCACTAGTAAAAAAAATATTAATTTCCTGATTATATTTGACGAGATGGATTTCCGTCGTGTAGTATTACGCAACAAAGTTCAATTGAATAAAACACAAATCTATAAATACACGACGTAGCCTGCATCCTGACTCACCGTCAATCTCATCGCGATTGTAGAGTGATTCATCAACTAAATGTTTGAATTAAAGAGAAGAAATTTATATGCTACAGCGTTTCTAGACAGTATCTAGAGCATAACCGATCCCGGTTTTCCATCTCGTCGTTTAAGGGATCGTTTCTCTAGAGAGAAAGTATTGTCCTGCAAGACGAAGATAGCATGTTACACCGGTGAAAACATTACTTTATTCCTTCTTTATAAGTTTTTACTTGGGTGATCTGTTCGTAACACTGAATAAACTCGTCGTGACGCTGTAATGATATATTTAATAAGCATAGATATTTCCAAACGGTTGCATTACGATTGTCGATCTGATTTGCTTCTGATAAAGCTGCTTCAGCTTCCGTAAACCTCCGCAGCTGAGATAATTTTCACATAAGAGCGTATTTTTTTTTTTTGCATAAAAGAGAATAATTTTTATATAGGAGTTCTTATACAGGAACTTCTTTTTTTAACTTGATTTAATTTACCTCAAAAAAAGCGATCCCTGCACCAAGCCATGTTTCTGCGGTTGGTGAAGTTCTACATACGCTAAGGAAAACTTTTAATGCACGCTCGTAATCACCGATATCTTCGTAATATAGTCCCATTCTATTATTATAATGTTGTTATAAATAGTTTTGTTTTTCCCTCTTGCTTGTTTTACGCAATGTCTAGACAAGTAATTTTACCTTGTCTGCGTGAGATGCAAATCGTCTGGTCTGTTGAACATTGCATTGGCAAATTCATAATAATAAATGGCTTCGGTAAAATTACCCTCTTGAAAATGACAATGTCCCATTAAACTGCTTATCGAATAATCCTAAATAGGAAAGAACATTTTTGAAATATATATAATACATGTGAATTAATTTTTATGTTACTTATATGATAACTAATTTAAATATCTGATTATTTCATTTACTCAAAAATACTTTTATCTATTTTTTTTAAAGTAATTTATGTATTATATAATTCGTAATTATGAAACCAACGTTGTGGCACCGAAGCAATTAATGATTGAATAATGATATTTTTATGAATAAAAAAATAGATATATGATAGAAAATGAAGACGGAGGGACCAAACCAAGCCATAAATACATTCGGCTTCTTTTAAATATGACAAAGAATCTTTGTATTCCTGCAATAAATAGTGTCGCACGGCCATGTAATATAGGATGTGGGTAGCTTTGCCTATGCGAGTCATTTCTCTCGCCAATGCTAAACCAGCAAACTGTATAAACATGAATCTATGATAATATATGTTTGCGCATTCTTATGTAACATATATTTCAAGTGCAGACATATTACGTCGCAGAGATGTAATTTCATTAGGAGTGTGGCTGTTATCATGAATATGTTATCGTGCGGACAATGAATCATTGTCCAAGCAAGTGAATCCTCACTAGAAATCTCCGTCTCCCGACCGTCGTCTTTTATACATTTTTCCGCTATTCTTAACGTGAGATCTATTCCTATTAAAAAGAAAAATTTTTTTATACATTTTAATTTATCTCAATCGAGTTTAGAAATTTTACGGATTCCTATTATACCTGAGCTATAATCTATGCGAGTGTAAAACAAATGCAAGATTACCCAGCCTTCAACGAATCGTGGATAAAAATCGGTAACGGCTCTTAGAAAGATTTCTGCTTTCTCATAATTCTGATTTTCGGCAAGGATTAAACCGTACACCAGTAAACTGCAGAGAGACAAATCTATCATACTTTAATAATTTGAGAGTTGGTCGCATTTTTTAATTACAAAAGTATACTTATGTATTTTCACGTACGCAAATTTATTTCGTCTATTTAAAAGAATCGCTTCACGACAGCACTGTTTTGCACATTCCACGTCATCGATTTTTAAGAGAAAAATCGTGTATCTGATCCATGCTTCGGAATCATTTTTATCCGCAATTGCCTGTGAAAAAGATCACAATGCATAATGATACATTGATATATTTTCGTGATATAGAGTTACATACAGTCTGATGATGCCGTCTTGCATCATCAATGTGACCTAACTCATAAGCTTCTTCCGCGTAGAAATATAACTTTTCAGATATCGCAGTCTTCGGCTTATCGTCGTTTGCGAAGCGGCTTTCAACAATCTTATTGATAGCGAGATGCATTCTTTCGACAAGATATGTGTATATAAATGCTATAAAATTCTGTATATAAAATGTATCTTGCTAAAACTTCTATTCTAAATTAAATCTAAATAAATAAATCTAATCTAATTGAAGAGATTACATGTATATAAGCTATATATAATAATTTTAAATTAATATTGTATGTGTATGTATATATATATATATATATAGATAGATAGATAGATAGATAGATAGACCTGGCTGTCGACGGAATGTACGGTGGATATTTTGTTTTGAATTTTTGATCCAATAACGTGATCACTTTCGCCTTCAAAGTGCTGCGTACATTCAAATACGTATTACTTTTATACAAATATTGCGTGAAACAAGTTAGCTCGTCCTGAAAAGCATACGCGATACAAAAGTTTTTTCGTATTTCATTATTAAAACTATTTACTTTTTCAGAAGCAAAGCAATGCTTTATTTCATCCGTCTTTTTAAAGTTACTCGAATTACTTTCCTGGTTTTTCAAAACGGATAATTTTTCTTGTCTTTTTTCATCTCGAAAGTCCTAATGGGAGAAAGCATGTCGTAGATCTAATAATGCGTATCTCATAATTTGTGATATCAAAATATATTTCACGGTAAAAAAAAATTTAAACAAGTAAATTTAATACTCTGTAGCTTTCCGTAATAATTTCCACTAGTTTCTGAATGCAAGTTGTATATTGCTTCTCTGCTAAGTCGCCAGAGTAGACATAATATGGTTTAATTATCTTCGGAGTCATCATTTCCTCGATTCTAACGAGATTAGTTTAAGATAAATTTTATTAACGTAATTTGATAATAACCGATTAGACGTTGTAATATTTTTTACTGGAATACGATTATGAACTTACGTGTCTGAAAAATCGGTTTCAAGTCTACAAGGAATAAGTGGATAAGAAAGTTCAACCTCAATTATAACAAATACAGGCTCGCCAATTTCGGAAATTAATGGAATACTTTGCGTTACTTCTTTGTCTGATTGAATCGACTGTTTGAAATAGTTTTAAAAAGTCTTTCTAAAAAGTATCTTAATGCTATATATAAATTTACATGTGAAATTTATCAAACTTTATTTGTATATAACTAACTTTTAGTAACTAACTTATATTTAACTAACTTTTTCCGGTTTTCGTTCATTCGAGTTTTTATCATTCCCATATTCTATATTGAAAATATCTTTTTCTAAGCCAGTTTTTTCAATCATATACGCTGCATTATGCGTATATAATTGTGTAGCTACGCGAGTGCTTCTTACTATAAAAAAATTGTTTAAGATTTAAAAAAAAAATTTAGAAAAAGTGAGAAATGTTTAGTGTAAGTTTTAATAATAATATCTACAGATTATTTTGGTTGTAATATTAAAATAAATTTATTTGTGCTTACCTCCGGGAAAAACAAGCTCTGACAAATTGACATAACATTGATAAACTTGACATTTAGCTGATTCTTCTTCCCTTTCTCTAATATTATCTTTTTCCGCATTTTTCTCGATTACCATAAATTGAAACGGCCAATATTTATATCTTTGAACACAATTTTGATATTTAAAATAAATTTTTTATTTTTATATGAAATATTTTATTGATTATATACTTATTAAGATGCTTTTTCATTTTGTTTCCCGCATTACGTAACATGCTGCGATCCATAAAATTCCACTCGATTCTAGATTCTTGAAACATTTTTTTCTGTAAATTACATTAGTTATTCTGTACTTCATCGGATATTTGTTAATTTTTTCGATCATATTACGAAATTTGTATTTTAGACCTACTTGTAAATCAAGTTCCGCATCGACCGTATTTCTTATATGTGCATAATCACGACTAAGTTTCCACTTAGATAATTTGGCGCGACTTTGTAATTTTGATAAACTCCGCCATCGTTTAGTTCTTTCCACGTCGCGATATTTTGTCCATTTACCATCTTCGAATATTACGTTTTTCAGAATCTGTGATAAAGAATATTGTAACTTTTTGTTCTTTGAATAATATTTATCATTAAGTGCAATCTATTTTATATTAACTTTATTGTCGAATTAATATAGAAAATTTGCTTAAGACGTATGGAATTGAATTTGAAAATTTATAATAAAGATCATTTAAAATCACAGTTGATTATTTCTACGGAAATGCAATCCTACATTAGATTTGCTTTATTTTCTTGTGTTCTAAGTTACGGTTACTTGAAAAATGAGATAAGATACCTCATCATCAATATATACTATTGTGCCCGCTTTATAATCTGCGTCTTCGGCGAAAAAGGTTGGTGGATTGTAAATACTTTCCACCGTAATACTTAGGAAATTAATGTTTGCTTGCGGAGGAAATATTTCTTCGCCGTCGTATTTTATTGTCACGTTTAACAAAGGAAGATTTTGCCGTGGGACCGCATTATCGTCACGTGGCGTTTGGACTATCAATTTTTCGGTGAACGATTTCTCACCTGTTACGTGGTCAAGGTTATAAAAATTATCTCAATTATATACCTCGGTCTCGCTTTCTCTATTTCAACGTGATCAATCATTACCTAGCAATATCGGCATTAGATCGAGAGTGCAAAAACCAATCACGCCTGATGGAGTTGATGTCTCTTGCAGAGCGACTGCTGTTACTTTCTTCCTCGATTCCTCGATTGAATTGATAGAATCAGGTGGAGATTGATCATTTTGAGAATCGCACGTTACCTTTACTGATATATAAATAATCAATACACGGCTTGTCGCAATTAGAATAATAATTATTGGTACTGATAAGATTATATATATATTATTTTTTGGCATATACTCGAGTATATATATTGCAAGTAGAAAAACATTTTTTACTTAAAACTGGCGTTGATACAATTGGATCCATACTATTGAGATCGTTAACTCTAAATGAAAATTTAACCGCGAAATTGACATCGTAAATCTGTTCTTTAAAATCTGGATTGATAATAAGAGGAATACTTTCTCCGAGTATTATATCGTTGTGTAATACGATGAATGATATGCTAATTTCTTCTTTCATTTGAGTCTATTCGAAGAAAATTTTTTGAGATTATGAAATAGTATTGAATCATACGAAAAGAAAACTTACGACATTTTCAATAGATTTTATAATTATATCGATGCTTCTTTCAAATGATTCATCTTGAACTGCAGAACTTTGCATTTTAATATGTGAAAATATTAAGAATATATTTTTCTATTAATTTGCTAACTTTTATTTAGGTGTAGTGCGTGATAGGAAGGTTTAACGTTTCGATATTTCTTTGTATGTTTAATAAAATAACCTTTATTATTTTTTAATAATAGTGAAATCATTGCGATTTTATTTTCAATTGTTTCTTAACTCTTCAATTTCAAGTTGAAGAATGTATTACTTGGAATATATAATAATAAAATACATTTTCGAATCATGATATAATATTATATATTATATTGATAAATATAATAATATATTGATATCATGATATTACAGATATCTTTCAAATTTCGTTGTGAATAAAAAATCAATGTAATATAACAATATTAATTTTATTTATTAATAATATGATATACATATGTGCCTTCAATGATAAGCAATATTTATATATATATATATATATATATATATATATATATATATATATATATATATGAGCGCATATAAATTATTTTTTTATATATAAATATATGAATAAATATATGAATAATTTTCTGATATATATGATTTTAAACAACGGTTTAGAAATCAGAGTCAAATCAGGTAAACCCTATATAACTTTTCTCATGAAAGTTTCTAAACCTTTAGCACCTGATCGTATTCTATAAAAATTTATAGGCGAACGGCGATATTTTTTTTCTTATATTCCCCAGAGTCTAAAATATATTGCACGATAACGATTGAATTTATAACAAAAGATATATAGAATTAGTAAACTTAAACCTTCGATTTATAAAAGCATTAACAATTTCGAAATAGATTCATTGCTATCAGCAATGAACTCCTTTCCTCAGGAAATTTTTATTTTATATCTTTTCTTCCTGCAACTCGTTAATGTAGAGTTGGTGAAGATAACAGTAAGACAATATGTTTCTTTTATGGAAACGTATGGCAATTTACATCACGTCAATGATTTACTTCATAAATATTACAATATTGAGCTACGATTGTAAATGCCTAATTTACGATCACCAACGTGAAGGCACTATAATT